TATACAAGTATTTTAGATAATAAAGGAAGATAAAGTGATAGAATTATAAATTTACCATTTTATGACCTCTAATGAATTGATAGATATAGGTAATGATCATCAACAGTTGCTAGTATCACAAAACAGATAAGCTAATGTTATGTTCCTCCTGATGGAAGTGCACAGTGCTGTTTCCTTGGTTACCTGTTGGTGCATTACAAACCACCCAAAGCTTGAAACAACAACAGTTTATTTTGTTAATGAATCTACAGCTTGCGCAGGGCTCAGCAGGACAGCTCATCTCTGTTCAATATGGTGTTGTCTAGGGCAACTTGAAGGCCAGGAGCTGGAATCATTCCAAGGCTTGTCCACTCACATGTCTTGCTGTTGAAGCTGGCTCTCAGCTGAGACCTTCTCTGGAGTTGTTGTGGGAACACCTCCACATGGCCTTTCCATATAGCTGCTTGGCTTCCTCACAGCCTGGTGGCTTGGTTCTGAGGATGTGTCCAGAGGGAGAGCCAGCCAGAAGATGTGTCACAGCATCACTTTTACCACATTTAGTTTGTGAGAAAGTGGTCACTAAGGCCAGCACATGTTCAAAGGGAGAGGAGTTAGACTTCTTTTTACGGGCAGAGTGTCAAAGAATTTATGAACATATTCTCAAACCATCATACTTCCTATGAAGAACCTTGTTGAAAAGTTGGACCTGAATCTAATGAAGTCTCTAGATCTAACTACCAGTTTATAGGAAATAAAAGGGGAAGAGGAATGTGTTAAATAACTCTATGGAGGTACGAAAGTAAAATTCAGAATGTGGGAATTTTCTACAGGATAATCTGGTATCTTTAAAAAATACATTGCAAGAAAAAAGAGTGGAAGGACAAATCTATACAGCAAAAGAATCTTAAGAGACATAACAAATTGCAGCTTATCAACGAATATTTCTTGGATCTTTAACAAAGTGTTGAAAAATTTTAGACAAAGGAATTGGAACATTTACTGGATTTTTTATTAAGTTGACTATTACTTTAATTGGTCATAGTGTTATAATGAGACTATGCTTATGTTTTAACAGTACTCTTTTTTAGAAGTACACATTGCAAAATTTATAGTCAGTGATGTCTGGGATTAGCTTCAAAATATTACAGCATTGAGGGAGGAGTATATATAAAACAAAAATGGATTAGTGATGAAGCTAGGTGATGATAGACTAGGATTCATCCCACTATTGTCTGTTCTTTATAAGTGTTTGAATTTGCCATGATGAAAGATTTTTATAACTTAGAATGAAAACTGTATTGCCTGCCAATTTGGGTTTATTTCAATTTAGAAAACAAAACTCATACACCAAATTTTTATAAATTTTTATGATATCTCATTTTGTACTATGTAAAATTTGTTTAAATCTAGTTTCTTTACACATCTGAGAAAGAAACTTCTATATTTTAAATATAGATCAGTTCAGTTAAAACAAACCAATTTTTTTCCATCAGGTAAAAGTCTTAGACTGTTTTAGTCTAAATTACATCATGGAATACTTACTCTTTGCTGTTCATCTCTATTTTCAGAGTTTTACTATCTCCTGTTTCACAGTCCCATTTTTTGTTTTCTGGCCAAATACAGAAATTATTTCTCTTGAACTTTTATTTTCCGATATTAACAAAATTTGTCTCCGACCCCATTTTGTGTGATTTTTTTGTCCTTTTGTTTTCTTATCAAATATTTTGGTTTGAATGAATCATGAACTTCTGCAGTTTAGTTCTAAATTTTTTTCTCTACCTCATTTTTTCCGAAGTTGCTGATGTTTCTCTCTCTCTCTCTCTCTCTCTCTCTCTTTTTTTTTTTGGCATTAAACTGTAGAGTTATTGTTGATTTTTCAGAGTCTTAAGAATTATTGAATCTAGCTTGGGTCGGTATTCTGTGTTTATTATTATTGTTTTAAAAATATATTTGCCTTTCCAATGATATTTGGGTTAGGCTGATGTTCAAATAACTTTACCTATTCTAGATCAGCACCAGCTAGCATAAGATTAAAAAAGCCCAGAAGTGTAATGGATGGTAGGGAAGATATTCTGAAACTTACATCATATCATCAAAGACTGATTGCTACTCACTATACTTTTTTCTTTCTCTTATTTCTGATTCTTATCAGTGTAATGTCTTTTCTTGTGACAATCAAGTATTTTCTGTAGGAAATATGTACTTGTTCAGGTATATTTATCAACCTTCTGAGCTAGGTTCTTCTGTGCAATTCAGAAGTCATGGATTTCTCTGACTCATTTGTAACTTACTTAGGGAAGCAGTTGGAAAGTCCTACTGGTCTGCTAACTACCCATATACATTGGCACAGACATTTATTTTTCTGTGTGACAGTTTCCTTGCCTGTGTAATCTCTGAGTTGAACTGGATAATCTCTAAAGACTCTTTTAGCTAAAACTTCTCTGAATTTCAGTTCTTTTTCCAGCTTCTGAAATAGCATAAACTTTTACTTCTCTTTCAAACTTTTCTTTATCTTTCTACCTTACTTATTTGATGTGATGGATTCTTCATCAGAATTTATAGAACAAGTCATACTGTTCTAAAAAAGGGGGGGGGTATCATGAAACTTCACAAATTAGTACTTCAGCATTGTAGATGATGTACTATTACATTGATATGCTATGTCTGCCTAATACACATTTTCAGTTGATTGGATATTTGCTAAAAGTGGGCAATTTAAATTATCTACCTGCAATTTAATTCTTATAGATCTCTAGTTTTTAATCTTGCAAGTGGTTAGTATGTATTTAAATGAAACCATGAATTGGAATACAATATAATTTACATTTTTAGTATGTTGGTATTAAACTCTTACTATATAGTTCATGGATATTTGCAAAGTGACTGTAGCAGTTTTTAGTACTTTCTTCCATAATCCATTCAGATTGCAACAGCTAGGTGATCCATATCTTTGGGCATGAAGCCTAATTAAAAACAGGGCTAAATTTTAAATCATGTAATAGGAAGAAAGGGAGAAAACTAGCCTCTCAAAAGGATTAATCTATTCTTACCCTGATGACTAAGTTTCTCCAAGAAATTTCTGAATAACAATTTACTTGGTTTACTATCTACCTGTCTTCAACCTGATTACTTTTATTTGGGATATTTGACTTTCTAAAGGCTTTAGCAACTTTCTTTTGCCCCAAGTATCTTTCTTTCTTTCTTTTTTTTTTTTTTTAAATGACCGGTAAGGGGATCTTAACCCTTGACTTGGTGTTGTCAGCACCACGTTCTCCTGAGTGAGTTAACTGGCCATCCCTATATAGGGATCCAAACTTGTGGCCCAGATATCTCTTGCTTGGGTAGAGACTGCTTGGAGGGTCATTACATTAAGGATTTTGCAGAGATGTGAAGTAACTTTGCTCAGATCCTTACGCCGTTTACTGGCCCCAGGAAGAGATGCTTTCTTGCTACTACTGAAAAAATAAAAAATCTATTTCTGGGAACAATTGCCCATCAAAGGGTATTTCAAACAAAAGTCAAATGAGCAAAAGAAGATAAATTAGGTCTTAATTTATTTTAAAATTAGGACCAGAAAAGAGATGCTTCACAAATCTCTTGCATAGTTCACTTACTTCAGTAACTTAGCCTGAACTGGAGTACCATCACTCAAAGACTAATAATGACCTCTGTTCCTGAGCGTCTACTACTTGTCAGGCACTGTTCTTGGTGTTTTCACATGATCTCATCTTGATCACAAACTCAATATTATTATCCGTACTTGACAGATGAGGCAGTTAAGCAAATCATTTGCTCAAGGTTCCATAGTTAGAAATTATGCAACATGAATTTGAATATAGGCTTTTCCATTCAGGTTATGACTTTTTCATTTCACTTCATTATAATTCACTCTTATGTCCTTCTTACAAACTCTCCTCTTTCAGGCTTATTTCCACTTTGAGCTACTCAAATACTGTTTTCTTTATCACTTCCTATTCAGAAATGTAGAGTTGTAAATTCAGCATTTAAAGCTCTTTTCAGACTTGGCCCACCTTTTCTTCTGTCCCACTGTCCTGCTCTCAACTGGCAGTACTTCTTAGAATTCTCTTTTCCTTCCGATTACTAGTTACCATGCTGTGCTGCACACTTGAAATACTCATTGCCTTCTGTGCCTTTATATGTTACCTTCTAATTTGGTTACCTTTCCCACTGATGTTCCATGTTCCTCCTCTCCTAAGAATTCTTGTTCACACCTTCTATGATTGAACCCAGTTGACTGTTTACTTCTGGACAACATTCCCTCAGCACTTATATATTCATTGTATATTGCATTGCTATGTGTTTGCTCTTTGGGTTCTTGTAGTTATACGAGGGTACTACAGAAAGTTTCCATGAACTTTTCGAAGACTCCATGTGTGTTCTTGCGTTATAAACAACTATTAAAACTCATTTCAAGCAGATTCTCTGTTTTTTTTTTTTTTTTTTTTTTTTACTTCACATTAGCTCAAAGCACCTGGGAGAGTTTTTGTTCCAGAGGACATTTATGCAACACTTACTTACTTTTGTTCCATTGGACATCATATTTTAAACAGATGAAGATGATAGCGTGATCATATATAATAATTGAAATCCTGATATTTATATCAAGAAAAAAATAATGATTTCTTGGAAAAGTTGGTACTTTTACAAAATCACATTCTAGTCCTAAAAACCAAATAGGCTAAAACAAAGCAACTCCCTACCCCTTAGATGGGCTATAATTCATTTTGCTTACCAACTTTTATATTCATATATGTGGTGGCTTTAAGTATGTCAAGAAATTTGGAATGTTTACACATGTCGAGTGGTGTCATTTACTTCTGGGATATTATCATTTTTCTCTTCTCACCCCTTTTTAGTCCTGCCAATGGAATAAGTTACATGGCAAATACAGGCTTGTTCTAAAATCTGAAGCAGCCCTTGTCACCTCTTAGAGATGAGAGTTTGAGGGTGATTCTTGAAACTGCTCTAGTCAGTTTCAATGCTGTGTTTTCTTTTTTCAGGTTTCCTGAAATGCAGTTTTTCCAACAAGAAAATGTGAGAAAAATTCTTACAGATGTTCTTTTCTGTTATGCTAGAGAAAACGAGCAGTTGCTTTATAAACAGGTAATGAAAATATCTTACAGGTGGCATCCATTGACTCAAAATTTTCTATACAGCTTGACAAATGATAGAGCAATAATGTAGCCTTTATTGTATCCAAAGTTGTATCATAATGCTAAAGCAATCAAAGCTGTGCTTGTCAGCTGCTTGGTGAGAAAAGTAAGCTCATTGAAGCACATATGCTTCTTCCTCATTATAAGACATTCCACCAAATTGTCTTCTATAAGGCGTTCAATCTTTTCTTTCATCTTTTTGGAGTTTGTTTATAAACAACATCTTTGAAGCCAATCTAGTAATAAAACTTTTCAGAGTCGTATGTATAAATATTGTTTCTAAGCACAGCATTTATAAATATGTGATATGTCACGTAAAAAATAATCAAGTATCCCATTATTCTTTAAAACTTACCAGTAATAGAACTTCAGATGGTTTCTTTAAATGTTTTGAAATTTGTATTTAGTTTCTTTGTGATTCTGCTATTTGGCTTATCTCATTTCTAGAGCAAGGAAGATTATTGGATTGTTTTCCTTTATTGAAATGTAAATTATTTAATATATAAAGGTGTACTAGGTTTTATAGTTAAGTTTATGGCGTTCCAGTAAAAATACACACCACTTGGATACTTTTATGTATTTCTCCAAATGTATATTAAGTGGGAATTTAAACTAAATTTATAAATTGTCTAACAAGCAAAAGTTATAACATGCATCTAATTGATGACCACTAAACTTCAATTTAATGTAACAGAGAACACATGTGGTAAAAGCAGTGTATTTAATTTAAAATAAACTTGATAGATTAAAAGATGGTAAACCAAGTCAAGTTACAATTATGCTAAATAATACATTTGTTATTGTTGTATACATAGAATACCCAACGAAACTAATTTTTTCTTGTTTTTTAATATTAGTAATTTGTCTTTATATTAATTACATGCTGGAATTGAAAATGGAAAAGAAAAAAACATTCCATTCATAATGGCAACCAAAACTATAAAATGTCTAGAAATAAATTTAACAATATAGATACAAAAGCTATGTGAAGAGAATTGAAAATGTTATTGAAGGGTATAAAGCAAGAATTGAATAAATACAAAACTGATAGCATGTTTTTGGATGGGAAGACTTTAAGTAAAAATATTGCTTCTTACCAAATTAGTATATAGTAATTATTCCTGTCATAATCTAAGTAAGATATGTTTTTTTCTTTTTTTTTTTCAAAACTGGATACAGTTATTTTAAATTTGGTGCCTAAAAGCTTTATAGTTATTTTAATGGAGATAATATAGCTTAGTGGTTATAAGCACTTCGTCTAGACTCAAATCCCTCTTTGAAATCTCAGCTCCACCATTTAGTAGCTGCGTAATCTTAGCAATTTATTCACTTACCTTTTCTAATCCTTAGTTTTTTGTTTATGTTTTTTAATTTTAAATTTTTTATAATCCTTAGTTTTGTTATCTGTAAGATGATGACAATAATAGTATTTACTTTATAGAGTTAAGAACGTATAGTGCTTACCAAAGGTTCATGTTGGTAGTTGTGGTTGTTATTGTTATTACCATCATCATTATAATTATGATTAAGTGTGTTGGAATTGCCACTGAATTTGGGGGAAGGCAAGAGTGGCAAAGGGAAATATTAAAACTTCCTTTTAACATTCTATTATAACTACAATGTGTAAGTATTATGGGAGTCAATTGTTAGATCAGTGGAACAGTCTTAGAACAGGTCCAATTTTATAGGGGATCTTAAAATAATAAAGTAGAGAAAAGAATGTTGACTTGTTTATTTGGCTTTCCATCTAGAAAAAAAGATACCTTTATGGAGAATAAATTCCAGATAGAGTAAAAATATAAATGTAAAAACTAAAAGCATAAAAATACTAGAAAAACATTTAGGAGAATTTTTGTATAATCTCAGGGTAGGAAAGTCCTACCTAAGAAAGACGGATTATCAGAAGTCAGATACAAAGTCAAAAGACCAAAAATAAACAAACCAAAAACATCTCTATCAATGTAGAATTCTTTTGGAAGCAAATAACAGAAGACCCTGTTCAAAGTGGCTTATGTCGTAAAAGTGTTATTAACACATATAGCACAAAGTCTAGGGTTCAGTGGTTCTGCAGCATTAGTTGGTTCAGTACCTCAGAATCTTCATCAAGGATTCAGGGTTTTTCTGTTTTTCTGCTGTCTTCTAATTGTGTTAGCTTTTGTTGTGAAGCCTACCTCATCATTCCTATTCTTCTTTCTAACGTTTGAAAATAAATCACAGTAAAAGATTTGATGATAGTGATTCAAGTCAGATGAAATTATCCCAAGCTATGCATTTGTTTTCCTATTTTTCTTTAGAGAAAGAAAAAAATAGATTAAGGAAGCCTTATAATAATGGAAACAGGTTCCATGGACATAGTAACTACACACTCCACTATTTGTGATATATGTGTCCCACCGCATTTGTATGGAAGATAAAATTCCTGATAATTTAGATGAAGTCTATTAAATAACGAATAAGGAACTATTATTAACTTATTTCTGGCTATCACTTAAAAAATTTTAATTAGTCCCTGTACATATTTAAAGTCCTATATTATTTACAGAGAAATAATACCTTCTCATTGAAAGACTGAATATTTAGCAGATCAAATTTAAGAAAAAACCTTGAGTTTCATCACAAGCTGTTAAAGCTATTATTTTGTTCTAGGTGACACCCCGTTTAACATCGACCATATTGTTAATAGTTATGGGATTTTATTGAATTAATGAGACTGTTATCATGTAGTAGAATGTCTTGCTGAGTTAATTGAAACTGCAGAGATTATATAAATGGTATTAATGAACTTTGACTGCCTGATGCCTCAGATTTAATAAAGACTGCTTGGTGGGCTAAATGAACACAGGCAGATAAAAGAACAGGTTCAATTTTGTGAGCCTACAGGCTGTTGATGAAGAAAACTTTGTTACCTTCATTTTCAACTGGCATGAGTTTGGAGTGCAGTGACTTCTAACAGTGTCTAACAGGGATAAAGGTTTAAAGCAAGCAGAAATGCTGACAATATAGATGGAAGCAAATTACACATTTTGGGAACCAAGAAGTATACTAACAATGCATTTTTATTTTGTTTGTCAAATTTATACCATGCTAAATTCGTGATAATGCCTTCTGGATATTTTTCTTTTAAAGATATCTAAATACTTATTACTTGTAATTATTGATCAAGTTTTACTAGTATAGAATTGAGAGCAAAACTAACAATCTCTGTTAGGTATTTGAAAGAATATCCCTAATTTAGGTGAAAGTCAAAACTGAACTTGTAGCCAGCCCTGTGGCTCACTTGGGAGACTGCAACGCTGGTGGTGCTGAGGCCCTGGGTTCAGATCCTATATGGG